TTGCCATTCTGTTGGGATGTTTGATATTATTAAACAAATTTCCTTAAAAAATTAAGAATTCCAGTTATATGTACTTTTACAGTAATTTAGATGCTCACCAGACATTAGCAATTAGCTAATTCATTTTGTTCAATTATTTCAAAGAGTGTATTCTGTTGATTTTATTGTTTTAAACCCCAGATGCGTCAAATAATTAGAAATGTTGCACGACACTGGTTGCCATTTTGGACAAAATATCCCATAGTTATTTTTGGTACAATTGAACTCCTGTTTTGCATTGACTTGACCAGATAAGGGTTTATTTGAATATTAATTATCATAAACCTCTTTAATTTTGTGAATTCTGCATGTCAGTAAAAATCAGGAAATTTTGTAACAGTGGAAATGTTACTAAGTGAATTTCATGAAATTTTCTTTCCAGGAAAGCCATAAAATTTTGAAAATCGTAAAATTCCGTGAGTTTACAGTATCTGATCAGATCTGCATAATAAGCTGGATAGCTTGGCCAATTTTCAGCATACTTTTATATCATAAAAATTAATTATTATTTCTGTATTTTAGTGATGACATTTTCCAAAGTTATAAATTTCATACCACAGTTACACCATGGGTAGGCGTTGATACATATGTTGTTCATATAATACATCAAAAATGCACTTTCAACCTCACTTCATTATGACTACAATTCTATGACGACTGCAGAGGAACAGGTTGTGACAATAACAAACAGCATGTAAATGTAAATTTAATTAGGCTTTTCAGATAAAGAAAGAGAAAATCCAATCCTGCATTATTATTATTGATAAAAGCGGCTGGATTGTCTCAAGATTCAAGTCATAGCAACAGAATTTGTGATATAAATATTTTTTTGATAACATAAACTCTTGAAAACAGCCAATGTTACTACACAAGAAGATTTGTCCCACAGTTAATTTTGGTGCAAAAACGTAATAATTTTAAATTATTTATTTGGCATCATGTAAGAGTAGATTCATTCCAAAA